TTTAAAAATTCCTTTGTCTGGTTAACTTTTTTGTACTTTCTTTCTTCTTTCTTTCATTTTCTTTCTTTCTTTCTTTTTTTTCTTTCCCACTTTTAATATATTTCTTTTTTCCCCGTTTCATTAATACATATTTCTTTCTTTCTTTCTTTTTTTTCTTTCTTACATTTTTTTCTTTCTTTCTTTCTTTTTTTCTTTCTTTCTTTTTTTTTTTCTTTTTTCTTTCTTTTTTCTTTCTTTCTTTCTTTTCTTTCTTTTCTTTAAAAGCATTCTTTACTTTTTAATGAAAATGTTAACAATTCTTTCTTTCTTTTTTCTTTCTTTCTTTCTTTCTTTCTTTCTTTCTTTCTTTCTTTCTTTATCCCTTGCATATCAATACATTTTTGTCTGCACCTCACTTATTAATACATAGTACTTCCTTCCTTTCTTTCTTTCTTTCTTTCTTTGTGTGTTTAGGAGAGCTTCCCTTACAGGACTGGTTAACTGAGATGAGAAATGTTAACAATTCCTTTCTTTCTTTCTTTCTTTCTTTCTTTCTTTCTTTTTTACATTTTTCTTTTTCTTTCTTTCTTTCTTTGTGTGTTTAGGAGGGTTCTCATGGACTTTTAACTGAGATGGTTAACAATTTCTTTCTTTTCTTTCTTTTTTCTTTCTTTCTTTCTTTCTTTCTCTCTCTCTTCTCTCTCTTTATATATATATATATATATATATATATATATATATATATATATATATATATATACGAGTATCTAATTTATAATATACACATAGCTTAGCATGTGAAGCCTGTAAAAATCGTGTGATATCGTGCACAAAAAAGACTGGGTAAAAATGATAGAAGCAAAATAATAAATACACAGTAAAATAACAGAAAAATAACACAGAAAACATGGTCTTTATACGCCCGTTTAAATACTTGACTTAGGTGGACTTATGCTATTTTCTTGTTGAATTTATCTTTTCATAGAATAACAGTAGTGAAGTAAATTGTAGCGTTGGTGTAGTGGAGAAGTATTCACTGCAAAACTGGAAGCTATAATAATTTACTTTCTTTCTCTGATAAGATCTGAAACTGATCTTTAATTTAATCTATTATCTCATCTCTTGTAGTCATTTATCTGCTTGTATCTATTTACAAGTACCCGCCCCATTTGCATGACTAAAACTAAGTGGGTTACCATCCAGCGTAAGTAACTTTAAAGACTGTCCAGCAAGTGGGATAAATTTTGTTTTATGTTAGACAGGACAGTTACATTGCGGGACAAACTCCCGATAGGATGCTTCCCAAAACATAACGACCTTATCATCGTTAAATTTAGAGACAACCGTTATCTAGCCTACATATCCTCATAATATTCAAGATGTGTGTGCTTGTGCGTGAATTGAGATCAAATATAAACAAGATATGCACAGAAACCAGTGAGAATGATGGGGTAAAGGAACAAATAGCAAACTAGCAAATAAATTTGACATGTTTCGCTTTTATGAAAGCTTTGTCAGAGAATGAAATATGGAGAAGAAAAAGGAAATTCTGTTACGTTTAAATTTTTATTTTTATCTTCTATTTTTGTTTTTGTGTTGTCTGCTTAACCAATGAAAAACAAACACAAAAATAAAATTAAGAATGCCAGCCTTTTATTTTTCTCACACATATTACATTCTCTGGGGAAGCATTAATAAAAGCAAATCTTTTTAGATTTATAAACGTTTCCAATTGTTTCAATCATATATATATATATATATATATATTGATAATATAACGTTTCTATATATATATATATATATATATATATATATATATATATATATATATATATATATAAGGTTTGTCTCTTCGCTGATAAATGTTACCTTCAGCACCCTAATTTCAGAGTTTCAAAAATTGAATTTGTCCCCTTATAATTTTCGATTTTTTATACACTTATCAAATCATATATATATATATATATATATGTGTGTGTGTGTGTGTTTTAATAAATTTCTTTTTATACGATATCTTCATATATACAAATATTTAAGTAAATGTTTATAATTAACTACATTTACCGGTCTGAATGTTCGAGAAATTTCATGGAAAATATGTGTCTTCCAACAGGTATCGAACCTGTATCCTACACAGAACCGTCATATAGCTTGACGATTTATACCATTTAGCAACAGAGGAAGCGACTGGTTAGCAAGTTTGAATAACTGCTTTTAAACTACAAATTTCCCATGATTTCTCTCGAACGCTCATATTTTCTCGAAGCTTATCTTAACGTAAACAAGTTACATGATATATTATGAAATGGACTACGTCCGACAATTATTTTAATATATTTCCTGTTTATACGTTATACGTTATTTTTATAGATACAAATATCTAAACAAATGCTCTGTTTATAATAAATATTTACTTAAATATTTGTATCGATAAAAATAACGTATAAACAGAAAATATATTAAAATAATTTCAGAACTTATCCATTTAATAATATAATAATATATATATATATATATATATATATATATATATATATATATATATATATATATATATATATATATATATATATATATATATATATGAATGGCATAATGCTATTTTTGGTGGTAGAAAAAAAGGATGACTACGAATTTTTTTATTCAGAGAAATTCTTCCGTTTCCAGACCTTGTGGCACGTAGTGCACCAGGTCCCTGTCCCTGTTTGACCTTCAAAAACTGTACATAAAGGGATCTGCAGAAATTCCTTTCACTACTATAATTAAATAATATGTGCTAGTGTTTGGTTCCTAGGAACTGAGATGTTTGAAAGACTCATACGTCGAATACGACAGGAGAGTCCATATATATATATATATATATATATATATATATATATGATTTTCTATAGATGTAGTTCACTGATTGTGATATCATTTTTTTTATATATATATATATATATATATATATATATATATATATATATAGTTTATACAACATTAGGTAATCCGTATGGGTAGACACAATTTTTGTGGTGAAATAATTTATAACATGGAACCTTAAAGTGGTCTGTTTTTTATTCAAGCAAATATATATATATATATATATATATATATATATATATATATGTGATTTTCTGTAGTTCACAAACTACCAGCAAGCAGAGATATTTCTTCTCCTGATGATGGCCATTTTGGCCGAAACTAGTCGAGGAATCTAAATGAAATAATAAAAAAAACGAAAGAATATTAATCTACAACCCAGTGTGTCTGAAAATTTTAATTTTTAAATATTTTTTTATTGTTCAATATATATATATATATATATATATATATATATAAGAGAGAGAAAGATAATAAAAGGGAGAGAGATAGGACGGAAGATAGAAACTGTAATTCTTTTAACAATTTTCCCTCACTATAAGTCTCAAGAGCCTTTCCCGGTAGACGTTTACTTAATGAGCTTTGTGATATGAACGTCAGAAAAGAACCGAGGAAGTAAAGATTATTAGAAGAAATCGGATTGATAATGTTTGATCGTTGATTTGAGAACGTCATTAATGGATGTAATGTTCAAAGGGTGGGGAAGCATTCACGCCGAAGCCCGTTCCCTGCCTCTGGCCAGGTTCTAAAAGCTCAATAGACACAGAACTCGCTGATCAGATTCAATGCCTTCCAAAGCAAACTAGTGAACTTTCACCGTTTTCGATCGAACCGAGAACTTTCACCATTCACGATGAACGGGTGTTCCCTCAGGGAGGTCCCGTGACTTGAGTGCCTATTGCTACTTAAACTCTAGCCACCTTTTTGTTCTTATTTTCTTTAAATCTTCGACGTTGCTCACATGCTCGGTCCATCATGATATCCTCATCATCCTTCTGGAGAACCATATTTCTGTTGCTACACGTCCCTTCTTTTTCTTTAAGGAAATTGTCCCACATTACCTGTCATATAGAAGAAATGATATTACGTAACAGTTCAGTACTTTATTTCTTTGTTTCTAACGAAATTCTTCTGTTTCTTAATACTGTCCTTAGCTTTTGGAATGCATTTTTTGGCTGTCCCAATGCGCATTCGGATTTCAGTGTCATACATTCCGTCCGTCGTATTCAATCAAACATCGTGGATAGATAGATAGATAGATAGATAGATAGAGAGAAGAGAAAGAAAGTGTTGAGGCATGGATAAGCATGGAATAATAATAATACAACACAAAATGTACGTAAACAAAATGTATTGAAACAAGGAAAATGTACACAATATTTACAGATAGTTTGGTATATTCTTGGGAAGACTGTTCCTGTAGAATGGGTTGACTTAATCGCAGTCGGGCAGAGTCTCTGGATTGGATCTTTGTTACTTCCCCTCGTCTTCCCGGTACCAACCATATTTATATGGTCGGTACTCCACTATGTAAATTAGGTGGATCGTACCACAACAGAAAGAAAGAGGGAGAGAGATAGTATGTGATTACCCCACTTAACTTTACTAAATAAACGTCGCTAGTGGACGCCCCTTAGGCCTATAAATAGAGAGTGACATGCAGTTCGTACGAGGTATAAATTTGTCCCCAACGCACGTTTACATTACTTTCAATTATTTTTCTCTCAGAATTCGACATAAACTTCATACACACAAACACATTCTCTAGATTAAATGTTTTATTCTTTTATATTCATTGTTTTGTCACTCGCAACAATCATTTATTGTCTATGTATAACTTTGTTTTGTTAATACATAATATTAGTTTGTATTTAGTTTTGGTGTTACTTATTCATTTATTACCAGAACTCACATTCGAGTCAGCATTAATTGTTGTGGGGGAAAATATACCAGGAGACACTTGTTTTTTTTTTTAACCCTAACACAACCAAAAAAAAATATATATATACAATAGATAGATAGATAGATAGATAGATAGATGGATGGATGAATAGGAACATATTGACATAGATGATGAGATAGATAGATAGAATGCTAGATAGATAGATAGATAGATAGAATATATTAAAGATATAGAATAGATAGATATGAGGAATATATTAAAGATAGATAGATAGATAGAAGAAACATAATAAAAATAAATAGATAGATAAATAATTAGATGAATGATAATTAAAGAAGATAGATAGATAGATAGATAACAACATATTAATTCTAGATAGATAGATCAATCTTCCTCATATTAAAGATACATAGATAGATAGATAGATTACATATTAAAATAGATACCATAGATAGATAGTTATCGAAAATTGATAGATATAGATAGATAGATAGAACATATTAAATCATAGATAGATATTTAGATAGATTTTTTGAACATATCTAAAGATAGATAGATCGTAGATATATAAAACAAAGATATTGAAGATAGATAGATAGAAAATATTAAATATAGATAGATAGATAGGAACATATTAATTAATATGATAGATAATAACAACATATTAAGATAGATAGATCTATAATAATAACATATTAAAATAGATAAATAGAAGATAGGAACATAGATAGATAGATAGATAAATAGGAACATATTAAAAATATAGATAGATGAATAAAATATATTATGGGATAGATAGATAGGAACATATTAAAGATAGATAGATAGATAGATAGATAGGAACATATTAAAGATAGATAGATAGATAGATAGGAACATATTAAAGATAGATAGATAGATAGATAGGAACATATTAAAGATAGATAGATAGATAGATAGCTAGATAGATAGGAACATATTATAGATAGATAGATAGATAGATTCGATGAAAAGGTTAAGATATAGTGTGGCAGATACAGACATTATAAAGGAACATAGAAATAGTAATTATTTAATATGGACGGCTTTGTCTGTAGACACTAAATAAATAGTCATTGCGAAACTATAAATGTCTGAGTCCGAATGAAAGAGTAAATGCTGATACTGTGTTACTGGAATTAAAAAAATGCTTGCATCAGGGGCATGACGGTGTTGGGTACGGGAGGTACCTGGGTGTTGAGGACGGAGGATGCAACGGCAAAGTCAATGGTGCTGCAAGAAAATGTCAATGACCATGACTCAGCAAGTTCCACCGTGTCCAACCATCTGTTCGTGGTAGCGGTCAGGGTTGGTCAAGGCTGAATGATGTTTATTGCTGAATTCAGTCGTCTGAGTTGATTAATATATATATATTTATATACTATTTGCAAAGAAGCACTTTATGTTATGAATAACAATGCATTTATATGTCACTGCTTCTAAATCTCTCTTAATCTCTCTCTCTGACATATCTTTTGATCTGAATAGCAATTTCTCTTTTCTCAGTCTCTGTCTGTCTGTCTGTGTCTGTCTCTCTCTCTCTCTAAAAGGATCTCTCTCTCTCATCTATATCTCTCTCTATATCTATATATATATATATATATATATATATATATATATATATATAGCATAATGAGAAGCCACGTATACTTTCTTAATATGTATATATAGAAAAAGTTTCAAATTAAAAAATAATAATGTTTTATTTTATGAAAGTATTTATTTATTTATATATATATTTGATATTTCAAATTATCCTCAATTTTTTCATCAGAAATAACTGTTAACTTAAATCTAACTGTCATAAATATTTTAAATGTTGTTTAAAAATTTTTTTTTTTTTACTTTATATATATATATATATATATATATATATATATATATATATATTTTTCAACTACGAACATGGACACAATATCCTGACCGTGTTTTGAAAATGAAAACATAAAATAAACATAAAAATGCATACAACAATCTATTTCTTGTTAACAGTTAACATATTTCAAACTTGAAAATGGCTAAATGTTTTGCCGAAAGCGCTCGGATAAAAAGAACAATTGGACTGTTTTTATATAATTTATCATGCGAAAAAAATATTAGATCACATGAGAAATTGTATAAAAAACTAAATCAAAGCACCTTGTCTGTCGTATTCAATGAAAAGTGCATAAAAGAAGTATTTCTGCCAAAATACACAAATTATATATATACATATATACACACACAAACATATATATATATATATATATATATATATATATATATATATATATATATATATATAAATGACAATATAAAATAAAAAAAAATGAAAAATAATTTAGGCGACACCTTTCATCTCCCACAGATGACGAAATGCGTCGGCTAAGATAAGTTTTCCTTTTGTCTTTGTTTATTTATTTAGTATCATTTAAAGAGTGACTACATTTTGGAGAAACTCTGTATATACGTGTGCATGTATCTATCTGCGTGCGTGGCTCAGTATAAAGACGTTTAAATATATATGTACGTGTGTACGTGAGTGTGTATGTATTGTGATAGAGCGATTTGCATTGAGCCATGTAGGTACATAATTTATACGTTTGCATTAACATACTATAATGATAATATACGCATGCGCGCACACCCTCACACAGAATTCTGATTTAACACTGACAACGACAATTGAACAATTATATATATATATAATATATATATATATATATATATGTGTGTGTGTGTGTGTGTATTAAATATAACAGACAATGAATGTCTGTTATGTCTGATCATGAGCCGTTCTAATATTCGAATATTTGCTTTGATTTCTGGTGACAATAAAGACAAAAATTGTCCAAGATTTTTTATTAATTTTCTCCAAAGTTTTCGGCACACATGAGCCATCATCAAAGTCGTTATACAGACATGAAACAAAGATATCCACTATCAAGGATGAGATTTTGTTATTTTGACACAGAAAATGGCTATGCAACGATAACGGTCGTGGAATAGCAGGCGCAGATCGTAAGTTCAAGATGCGGTTCTATGACGTCATACCACACGATAGACCGAAGTATTACAACAGAAGCAATGTCTAGATGCAATGTTCTTGGCCTAAAACTGATGCACGTACCCGGATTACAGTTCGAGCCTGTGTAGTGTGGTGAGACGACCACAACCTATACACTTTCCGTTCAAACACTGCTATAAACAAGGGAAGTAAGTGAGAACGTTATAACTTAATTAAGAAGTCAATCGGTGCCGAGCGGCACTGTCACAGCGCTTGGTCAGGATTAAAGGAATAATATAATTCCCACCAATGCATAACCTGTTGTAGATAGATAGATAGATAGATAGATAGATATGAATAGACTATGCGCAGATAGATAGATAGATAGATAGATAGATAGATAGATATGAATAGACTATGGGCAGATAGATAGATAGATAGATAGATAGATAGATAGACATTAACAGAGCAAGATAGATAAATATATATTAACCGATTAGGATAGATAGATCTTAACAGACCAGGATAGATAGGTAGATAGATTGGAATATATATATCTAGATATATAGCATAGATACATACATATATATATATATATATATATATATATATATATATATATATGTATACATACATGCATATATAGAGAGATGTACATACACACACGCGCATACACACACACACACACACACATATATATATATATATATATATATATATATATATATATACACACACACACACACTTACGTTAAATGTCCATTTTTTTTGTCAATTCGCCAAAAATATAAGCGTATAAACGCCGTTATATTTTATTCTTGCTCTTTTTAATGGTTCATTAAGCATTTATCCTGTGAGGCAGTCATGCTCATTAAAAATCGTCCATATCTTGTAACTTGATAGCGGCATGCACGTTAAAAGAGAAAACGCACACACTGAAAACGAAAAACAAAAAGAACAAATGTTTTCCTTAAACCATAGTCAAAATGTGAAGAGAATTACGTGTATCTATAACCATTCCAGTTATTGTCTTCTTTCAATATTCAGATAACACAGTATACTTTCTTTGTTTCTGTCTCATTGATAACGAATTCCTCTTGAACACACCGTCACAGAATCTTGCCTAATCCAACCTGGTCGTTTAACATTCACAAATTGACACCTATGACACGATTCATTCATTCATTTACTGACAATATTAAACCCGGAGATAAACCAACAGTCCAGTGACTAACTTCCTTATTCTGTCGATCTTATGGATGTATTTATTCACTTGCGTAGACAAATGCCCTTAAATACAAGTTGTCTGTTTATATCCTATGTTAATACGCTTGTACCGCATCGCTGCACCAGCACAAGAGGTGACAAATTCTAAAAAAATAAAAAAAATAAAAAAAATAGCAGAAAGAAAACAATATTAAAAGCAAACTGGTCGGAAGAACTTCTGTCTCGCATCATCTCGCTTTGTCTCGCAACGCACAGCGGCCATTTTGTAGTCTTTGTTAGCTGACCGGTCTTAGGTGACCTGAAATATATTATATGCAAATGTCTCGTTTTTTTTAGATTCTATTTGTAAGATCTATTTCTTTATACCGTTCTTTAGTCTTTGTAGTTGATGTATTCCCCTATCTTGCCATATTACTGCAATATAAATGCTTTTACTTTTAAATTTCTGACAAAGTGCTATGATATTTTTTTCTCCAGATTCGATAACACATTTCAGATGCAATACAAATGATTAACGTCCAGCTCTGGGGATTTTTCTGTGTGGATCCGATGACCATAAATGTTGATGAGATTCCCAAATAAAACATATGAATAAAGACTGTTAAAATTTATGCTCAAAACAATAAAAAAGAAGATACCCAACATTGTTCTGGCAACTGAATATTTTCTTAAACAAGCTGTTTTAAAACAACGTTTTAGCATGTCTATTCTCCAACCGCGCCCCACGATGATTGTATTCCCTGCGAAAATAGGTAACTTGTTTTTTTTTCTTTTCTTTTCTTTTCTTTTCTGTAGAATCGAGTGACTGAAACGCTATTGCAGAAGAAGTTCATTTCACGCACTTGTTTATTACACAAACTTTATACACAGAAACGCACATTCTCTAATTTAAATCCTTTATGAAACTAGTCTTTTAATATTTTTTTCGTTTATTGCAATTGTAATACTTTTGTTAATACATTCATTGTCGTATGTTTTATATATTGTTTTGGGTTACTCATTTATTACTCTGACTCACATCTGAGTCCTCAATAATTGTTACAGGAAAAGTAATAAAAAGCATTACCGCAACAAGGTCTTAGACAATCTGGTTTTTTCATTTTGAAATCTTTTGTCAAAATGATTTCAATTTCAACATTCTGATTGGCATTTAAATTTTAAAACTAACCCTTTAATATTTTCTTATTTTTATTGCAATTGTAATACTTTTTGTTATACATTTCACTGTCGTTTGTTTTATCAAATAAAACTTGATGAACATCTGAGTCCTCAAAATTGTTACAGGAAAATTACAAATAATTTATATCAAGGTCTTAGACAATTTGATTATATTTTTGTCCGAAAATAAAACTAACCTTCTGAATTCATGAAATTACAAATAAAATGTGGATTATATTGACTACTCTGAATTCAAATCAAAAAAAACAAAAAAAAAACACAACACTGTCTTTTCTAAGACGTCATGACAATTAACAATTAATAAAGAAAATCAATCTCAAGAAATGTATGAACGCCTATGTCCTGAAGAAGCATATTATTAAAAATGATAGGTACAAATACTGGTAGTCTTCGGGGTCTGGATAAACATTAGCTTACCAGATACCTTGGCTTCGCTTATAAAATAAAAAATATATATGTTCGATGCATTTCTTTCTAAAGGAAATGGGGCCATATTATATGCACCAACTGATTACTAGCTTTTTCGATCACTGCAAAAACTCAGGCCGAAAACTTTATCCAATAAATACAAAACTTAAGGGTTCGTCAGTAATTATTTGCACGTTATTGTTTGTTTGTAGCTATCACATTATAGACAAAACGTGTTGAAGAGCATCTAAATAAGTTGCAACAAGTCAGTGCAAATCATAATGAATATATTTGAATTGAACTAAAATTGTACTTTATTTTTAAAGAATACAGTTGATATTTAATGAATCATTAAAAGTTCAAGAGAGTTATCTGCTTAGAGGAAGCAAGAATTTCATGGCAAAACTGCACATCATGACTTGATAAAATCTATCGAACGCTAATTCTAACTTTCAACCTTCAAATTTGAAATTCTTAATTCACTAGAAATGTCACAAGATTTAAATTGAGGATGTTATTTTTTAATATTACTGTATATACATTTTATAATAATGTTCACCCAATACAAGCTCCAAGAGCCGCTCAAGATAAATGGTTACTGTTTTGTGTCGTATGGTGATTTTCTTTTTTTTAACCATCTATCGGTTTTAAATCATGTAAAATTTGTGTTTATTATTATTCAAAATAGATAAAGCGACTTTTTAATTTTGTAGTATATATATATATATATATATATATATATATATATATATATATATATATATATATATAAATATATGGATATAGATATAGATCAGTATGAAGAAAAATATACGGAAAAAAACAAACAAAAATCTTTATATGCAATTATGCTGTTTTAATGTTAATATAATGTCAACGTCGGACGTTTCGGTCTAATAGACCATCTTCAGGACATATTCATAAAACATAATTAACATTACACTATATTTAATTCAACATATCCATTTGTTTTCATATTGAATTAAATAATGTGAATATGTTTTATGATCAGAAGATGGTCTAAAACCTTGAAACGTCCGACGTTGATATTATATTAATATTAAAACAATTAATTGCATATAAATATTAAATTTTTGTTTTTTCATATTTTTTTCATATATATATATATATGTGTGTGTGTGTGTGTGTGTGTGTGTTTGTGTGTGATTGCATGTGTGGTGGGTATGTGTGTGCATGTGTGTGTGTTTGTGCGTGCGTGCGTGTGTGTGATCTTTATCTTGATTTTTTTTTTTTTCCCCAGCCTTTTTCATTAGCCAAACGGAAGGTGAGATGAGACTCGAAAGGTGTTACGCCTCACCGGGTGACAACGGGTGAGACGATGTTAGGGTGGCGGCCTTGTCTTTACGTTTAAGTCGTTTAGATCGAATTACGCCTGTCATTAAATCGATGTCATTTCCGAGCGTTTTGTGACCAAATGAAATCCTTTCCCGTCTAAACACTAACGCCTCTACCCGCTCACTGTCGCTTTCCTGAACCGGAACGTTACTTGAGCAAAGGCTTGCGTAGGCAGATTTTTTTTCACCCTACCCAACGGTCGCGGACTCTGATTGCGAGACGAAATAAGAGTCAATTGTAAACATGCCCATATCCGCAATTTCGGGGAATTTTTTTCCCTCGTCACTTGTTCGTATTTAGGAGACGACTGTTTAAAGACATAATAAATTCGATTATTATTAATTATTATTAACGTTTTTACTATAATTTCTTTAATATGGCTGCCTTTTATTTCAACTCCCGGGACGCTATTCTACGATCGTTAGTGATCCCTAGAGCATGTTCCACCGATCACTAAAATCTTAATCTGTTTAAATTCAGCGTTAACCGTTATCTTCCCACATCTCCCATAAACTGTGCGTTTTACTTTCTTTACAATCTCGAGTGGTTTTTTGCCTTTATACAGGGTTAATATCATTTTTAAAAAAAGACTGAGAATCAGAAATAACGAATAAGCCTTCAGCGATTTTCGAAATATCATAAGTTTGCTTCAGTAAGCGCTACCGATTAGGCTAAGGACACCACCTTCTGCTAATGCTTAAATCTAACCTTACAGCTTTCATTGCTTTATTTCCTCTAAATACTATTCTACAATCGCTGCTAATCATATTTTTATTTTATTTTATTTTTGTTTTTTTAAGCGTTTCACCCTAAGCAAGGCGGGAAGCCACTAGGACGCAAAGGGTTACAGAAAATTTGGAGCAAGATCAGATAGGAGTGATAGAAGAAACGATGAGGAGAAGGGTAGTGGATAGATCAAGGCAACTGGAGATGTCGATTGACATTACATTTGAATAGTTGGGGATTATAGCTCTCAGGGAAACTGGAATAGGGGAAGGGAGTTCCACAGGCGAGGCATGAAGCTATTGGAGTAGAAGAGACGGCTACATTTAGGAGTTTCGTCAGTGAAAGGGTGAGAACGGATGGCAGCCTCGTAGGGCGCTTGAACTCATGAAGTCTGGTAACCAGCGAATGTAGCTCCTCGGAGCAATTGCCATGAAAGTATTTGTAAAACAGACAGAGAGAGACGACGGCGCGTCTGTGAGAAAGTGAATGTAGACGAGATGCCAGAGCAGGGCTAATCATATTACATATCCGCCTCTGGAGCCTATGAAGAACCCCGAGGCAAACAGAAGGGGCTCCGGACCATATATAGCAGCAATACTCCATGTAAGGGCGAATTGTTGATTTGTAGATCTGGAGGATCGATTCCGGGGAGAAAAATTTCCTGGCCCGGCACAGGGAGCCAACTTTCCTAAGTAGAGATATTATTTAAATTATATAAAATGAAGAATTGTTTGTTATTAAAATTTGGCTAATATTTCGTTAAAATTATTTTTATTTTTTTTTTTTTTTACCATAATAATCTCGTTAAGTCATCGTTAAGACATAATTAAATAAGGAACTGAAAATAACCTGGAAGTAAACAGTGCATCATGATTCACTTTGCTTTTTTAATTATTCTAGAATAACGCTCTAAACGTTGCCGTAAAAAATAAAGAAAAATTTCACGACTGGATTCACGACTTCCAGGGAAAAAATGAGATTTTATAAGAGCTTTTCTCCACTAGTCTACAATCCATAAGATTCTCAGATATTGGGATTTTCTTATTACAATAAGTTCCCGGGTTAAGACTGTCCCGACCTACGATTCGTGGTTACGACACACTCTCCATCAATCTTGTTCCTACTTATACCGTTTGCCTCGTATATATGACGCAGATGGAAGAACACATGGTGCGGCGGAATAATATGGCGTCATACGACGCTAAAGTGAGGAAAGCGGGGTGAGCCAGTCCTTGGTTGTACGTCATATTGAATAGTTGTCGTATTTGTGTAAACTTATTGCCCTTCAAAGGTGTTCCCAAGCGCCGTGTAACCACCTCTGATGACGGTGCTTTGAAGAAAAGGAGAGCCATTATAATGGGAATGAAATTAGACTTTGTTAAACGCTCTGAAAAGGTAGAAACAACGCAGAACATAAGTGACGGAAAATCGCGATTACGTTTCGAATTCCTACGAAAAACGTGTTACGACGCATCGAATAATCTGTAGTCTTATATCTAATATATGACTCAGATTTTCTTTGAAATATGCCCGATGAGAGACTGAATGTTGAAGGTATTATATTTGCACTGATTCCTTCACTCGTTTATTAGCCAATAGTGTTTTACACATTTTGACTTCGTTATAGAATGCACAATGTTCCATATGTTTCTTCTATACATGATCAGCCATACTCGATTTCAAGTTTCCATAGAGGTTGAAAAAAATCTAATCTTTCTAAACCCCCTATTATATAATAGGGGTTTAGAAAGTTTTATATATATATATATATATATATATATATATATATATATATATAAGTAATATTAATATTATATATTAATAATATCAATATATATATATATATTAAGTAATATTAATATTATAAATTAAGTAATATCAATATATATATATATATATATATATATATATATATATATATATATATATATATATATATTATATAATAATACATCGAGTCTTGAAGAAACCTCAACAGAATGCAGAAAGCACTGGACGGCCGTTTCGTTCTATATTTGAAGCTGGTTCAAGCAAGGATATACAAATGATAGAAATTAAGGAGGATTTGAGATAATTAAGTAATTCATGGATGGGACGATTGGTGATGGTAGTCTGGCTCTCGGAGGTACAGTCCTATGGGTAAAGGAACTTGGATGAGTTCCACCACGGAATATGTGAACGAGTGGCGCAATATCGAGTCTAGTTCGTTACCTCTTCGTCACCGAGGCCAGTTAGTACAGTTGGTATGACGTTTGCCTGTCAATGTAGCTGTCCAGGTTTCTATTCTTGGTAGTGGATGCTCACTGCTGATGAGTCCCAAATATAGGACGAAACGGCCGTCCTGTGCTTTCTGCATTCTGTTGAGGTTTCTTCTAGACTCGATGAATTACTTATCTCAAATCCTTCTTAATTTCTATTATATATATATATATATAGCAATACTCTCTTTATTGTTTTTACTGGTATAACTATATAGAATATTAGACAGAGAGAGCTTGTCATTTTTGAAGGCGGTATAATTAAGATAAAAAGCGTTTAAGTCAGACAGCTAAATGCATTATCAAAAAGCAATGGATCCACAAGAAAAAATTCTAATTATTATTCATTGAGTGAGGAATGTTTTTCTCTAAAAAAGAAATGTAATAAAATAAAAATTATTGTAGTTTCAAAATTCACCTGCGTTGTAAATTCGGATTTTCACAGAAGCTACTTACAATAATGGTGCTTCTTAAAATAAGAATCAAGACCAGATTGAGTAAGAATCGAATTTAAAAGACGATACAGACACCGGTTCAAGTACAGGGAAAAATCAGCAAATAGTTTAATTAAATGTAGCGGAAATGAAATACAGACCCCAACAGCCAAACGCTACTGATAAACGGCACCCGCCCCTACATCGTTCAAACAGACGACGTTTAGAGTGCTGTCACTGCAGAAAGATAGCACATGGCTACCCTGCCAGAACAGAGCTAATGCGAAACCCGGAACGTCTGGTTATGACTGACGAAATTGTTTACCAGCTTCTCCTCGAGATAGCTGGGAAGGTGAGCTGAGCTGTGATAGCTAGGCAAATGATTCCATTAATAGTCAACAGTTAAAGTTTTTAGACTCCATAAAAGCAAGAAGAAAAAATAACTCTCTATTTTATGTATAATGGGTTCTCCTATCTAATATAATTTTTACAAGAGGAGAGAGTCCATCATACATAAAATAACGAATTACATTTTCAATTCCTCTTTACTGTTTCTATATATATATATATATATATATATATATATATATATATATATATATATATATATATACATAAACATGAATTTTTATTAAAAACGACAGACATGGTACTATGAATAAGCTTTTTATTTAATTTTTTCTTGTGTTCGAACAAGTGGTTTCTTTTTTGGACACAAAGTGTGCAGAAACTGCCCAAATGTTCTATAATTCTGAGCGCTTTCGGCTATACTTTTAGCCATTATCAAGGATGATTTTTTTCCAGTTTATTTGAGTGTGTGCATTGTGTGTATGTTTTTAGTGTTATAGAGATGTTTTATTTTCCGAACACGGTTAGCACATTTTGGCCGTGTTCGTAGTTAATATTATTAAGTGTTGGCTTTTTCTTTTTTATTATTAAGGCTTCCATTATTTTTCATCTTTTTCTTACAGATGGATAAGGTTATTATGTTTGGGTTTTCTACTAGTATGTTTCGAATGGAGTCTGGTAAGTTTGTATGTGTGTTTAAATGTGTTCTAATAGAGCTGTGGTCAGATAGGTGTAACGTAAGGCGTCTGTATAGGAATGAATATATATATATATATATATATATATATATATGTGTGTGTGTGTGTGCGTTTGTGTGTGTCTGTGTGTATGTCGACTTTTGCTTAGTCAGGGTAGTGCAGGGTTAAAAGCTGAATCCAAACGTTTCATTTTTGCTTCACAGTACCAATTCTTGCTACCTACAATTTACTAAGCACACATACTAAAAACTGAGTTAGCCCGAAATGCAAATTCTAAGATACATATCCAGAAACAATTCACCATCTTGTATCAGAATACACGGGGTTAGTACCGAAAGAATATAAAACTAGGCATGAAAGAGTGTACCAATATCTGCACTGGAAAATATCTAACTTCTACGGAAAAGAAAATGCAAGAAGCTGGTATGAACATCACCCAGAGCCGGTTACAGAGATAGAACCTGTCATAATTTTATGCGACTTTACAATCCACACAGACAGAACAATCAGATCTAATTGCACAGACATCGTTATCAAAGACTACAAAAACAGAATGTGATTTCTTGCTGACATGGCAGTT